CGTCGACAAGCACGAGGAAGTATCGCTCTCAACGTGGCCCATGGACGGGGGCGGGGCCCCAGACGTCCATGTGCAGGGTCTGCAACGGCGCGGCGGTAGGGGGAAACGAGGAGGAGTGGGGGGCACGGCGAAGCCGACCCTCAACACAAGGAGTGCAAGGGGTGGCGGGGGAGGAGGGAAAAGGGGGGAGGGAACCAGGGAGACCAAGGACGAGACCGTGCTGGGACATGGAACGCAGACGCAGGAGCGCAGGGTGACCTAGACGGTGGTGCCAAAGGAGAGTCGGGTGAGTGAGAGACCGACAGGAGCAGGCAGCAGCAACCTGGGAAAACTCAGCCACTTGGAGGGGCGCCCCAGCCGGGGGGGTTACGGTGTCCAGAGTGAACAGGCCGGACACCGGGTCCCGGGGGAACGTGGACAGAGGGGCACCTGTGGCAGCCTCGGTACAGACAGCATACTGCTCGTGACCAGGGAACGTAGTGGTGACGCCAAGGTCCTGGAGGCAGCCGACACCAACTAGTTTCCTGGAGAACGAGGGGATATGCAGACCTGTGAGAGAGCCCGAAGGAACTGCCGGACAAGGAAGGGTGGTTGAACTGCGGGCGACTACCGGATTGCCGGACGGGTCAGCAAGAGAAACAGCGGCAGGAACAGGAAGCGGCGTCAGTGTTGTGAAGTCGCGGAAGAAGCACCGGGAAGCGCCAGAGTCCAAGGGGAAGGAAAGCGAAGCAGTGGCGTCCGGCGACGGGGCGACGGCGGAGGCACCAAGGCTAAACAAAGCAAGGGCTCCTACGCCTGACGCAGCAGGGGAGGCTAAGCTAGGCAAACCTACACTAGACGACCATGAGTAATAAGCGGGAAGCACACTAGAGTCATCAGCATACATCACATGCAGGGCAGACACAATAGCATCCATGTCCAAGTCAAAAATCGGAATACTACGACTAAGCAAACTGTGCCAGTCCGGGAGGTCTCGCGACGGGCCGAAGCGCTGACGAATCAGGTCGTCCAGGCGACGAAAGCAGCGAGGAGTGGTATGACCGGTCTTACCGCAAACGAAGCCGCGGCGAGGACCGGTCTGGATCTGGTACTGGCAACGCACACCTCCCAAACCCCCACCCGGGACACCACCACGCTCACGACCACCGCCAGCTCCAGGCCACCCGGGCGGGAGGACACTCGCCTGCTCGTCTGCGACGGCTGCTGCTGCTGCTGCGACTGTGGAGGCAGCTGCTCAGCTGGACCGGGCAGGGTCCCCTCGTCCGCTCCTGCACCAGACGACCCGACTCCACCACCACCCCCACCTGCACCCCCTCCTCCGCCGCCGCGCCCAGCCTTGGGGCGGCGGCCCTTCCCCGGACGGAACTGCACGGCAGCAGCAGTCTCAGCCACAGTGGCAGAACCGTCGGAGAAGGTACACTGAGTGGGGGCACAACCCTGAAAGATAGGGACCGGTACGGTACCGCTCGCCTAGGCAATGGAGCGATGGCGGGTCTCTATAATAGTCAGGGTGTCTACAAAGTCGGTGAGGGTGAGCTCATCGGGGTGGATACTAAGGAAGCGGTCGCGGGCGGCGGCAAGGCGGTCAGGGAGGCGGGTGGCAAGCAGGTAGAGGGTAGAGGTAATGGGCGGCTGGTGGGCTCTAAGCTGAGTATCAGTGCAGGCCACGCGCCAGGTCTCATCTATCGTGCGCAGGTGGGCAGCCAGGTCAGCGACAGTGGGGGAGGATCCAAGATCAGGAAAGAGCAGCGGGAGGATCAGGCGACCCACCGAGGCAGCATGAGGGGTGGAATAGTGCTTGAGGACAGCATCTAAGTAAGCCTGGGCGGTAGTGATGGACCTAAAGCGTGTCGCTCAGACGGGGGAAGGGCATTGCTAATGGCAAGCTAGGCGACAGCATCTCGGGAAAGCCAGACAGAGCGCGCAAGGGCAGCGGCTGCAGTAGACTCGCGCTCAGCGGGTGTGGGGTCAGCGGGCAGCACAGCAGGGGGATCTAGGCAGGGGAGCATACCGTCAAGGTGTGCAGAAAGCGGGTGGCCATCCTGCCGCTGGCCAATGAGGTGGCGACGGAGGTCGGCGAGCCACGCCTCGAACTCCAAAGGCTGGCCTTCAGCGTCGAAGCGAAGCTCCGCCGCCATCAGGAGCAGGGCAAGGCGGGGCAGTGCGGTGCAGGGCGGTGCAGGGCGAGGCAGTGCGGTGCAATGCGGTACCGTGCAGTGCAGTGCGATGCAGGGCAATGCAGTGCGGTGCAGTGCGGTACCGTGCGGTGCAGGTGAGGGGCGGGAACCGTACCAGGGAGAGTGCAGGGCCGGAGGAGGCACGACGAGCGGGCAGCACTCAGCTCGGGGCAGGACGGCCGCGGGGCCGACGGGGCGGGCGCAAGGCCGGCTGGGACGGGCGCGGGGCCGGCTAGGACGGTCGCGGGCGGCTGGGACGGGCGCGAGGCCGGCTGGGACGCGCGCGGGCCGGCTGGGACGGGCGCGGGCCAGCTGGGACCGGCGCATGGACCGAGCGGGACGGGCGCGGGCCGGCTGGGACAGGCGCAGGGACCGAGCGGGCAGGCCGCGGGGGTCGGCTGGGACGGGCGCGGGGCCGGCTGAGACGGGCGCAGGGGCCGAGCGGGCAGGGCGCGGAGGGCGCGAGGGCGGCCGTGAGGCCGGCTGGGAGGGGCGCAAGGGACGAGGAGGACGAGGGCAGGGGCCCCTAGGGTAGCACGGGGGCCGCTAGTGCAGGCGCTGGGGCCGTCACGAGGGGCCGCTAGGGGGAGCGTGGGGGGGGCCGCTAGGGCGAGCGTGGGGGGCCGCTAGGGCGGGCGCTAGGGCGTGCACGAGGGGCCGCTAGGGCGGGTGCTAGGACGGGCACGAGGGGCCGCTAGGGCGGGGCGCGAGGGGCCGCTAGGGGGGGTGCTAGGGCGGGCACGAGGGGCCGCTAGGGCGGGTGCTAGGACAGGCACGAGGGGCCGCTAGGGCGGGCACGAGGGGCCGCTAGGGCGGGTGCTAGGACGGGCACGAGGGGCCGCTAGGGCGGGGCGCTAAGCCGGCTAGGACGGGCGCTAGGGCGGGCGCGGCTAGGGCGGGTAGGTCCTAGAGCGGAAGCGTGGGTGAGCGGGACCTACCTACTGCTGATACCAACTTAAAAACTTGAATGAATGAATAGAGAGAGAGAGAGTATAAGAATATATCTAAGTGTTGTACTCTCTAAGAGATGACCCTATACAGTCTATACAAAGTATAAGAGATACACCTGTTTGACAAGGTGACCCTATACAGTCTATGCAAATATTAGAGATACACATGTTTGACAAATAATTCTAATCATGTCGAGCCTCCTTGGATACGGGTTTGTATCGAAAAGCTGTGCCCTGATCGGTAAGCCGTTATTCCGGAATAAGGAATACAGATACTGCTGTGAGTTTTCCGTATTCCGTGCGTTGACTCGCCAGGTTAGGTAGTGCGAGAAGTTGGGCTGGTTTATGTGCGAAATTGCCGGATGTAACTGACACATCTGAGCTGGCGAATGACCAAACTTGCCCGCCACGATCTGGGTCACGAAAAACAAAAGGGATTCTTGCATTATTTTTTTTCTAGGGCCCTGCATCTGGCTTGATATCGAAATGCGACCTTGAATTTGTTTTCTTGGCGGCCAGACACAGGCTGGTCGTGGGTATTCGACGTTTTAGGTTTCCGAAATAAGGGCATTAGTTATTGCGTCTGGATTGCCACACTCTTCACAATTCCCAGCCATTCCTGCAAAAAAGCTGGAATTCACATCGACCGGTTGTTGGCACGATTTCGCCCGAGTCAGCAGCTAGGTGCCCTTTCCTTGTTCCGTATTCCAGCCTTCCTTATCCTGGTGATCGGTACACACCTTTATTCCAGGAGGTTTGGTGTGTTTAAAATGATTAGTTGGCTTTAAGCCTATTCCGAGCCAGCCCTGAGAAATTGCTCGACACCATCCTAATTCCAGAATAAGGCCTAGGGCAAAACAATTCCAACCGTTAGTCAATGTGAATTCCAGCTTTCTCGGAAGAAGCAGGGGGAATACAAATCAACTTCCCGCACTACAGTGTCTAACCTGGCGGGTCAACGAAGGGAATGCGGAAGGCTTGCTGCAGCTGCTTCATTTCGTATTCTGGAAAACTGATTGCCGATCAGGGCCAGAAAGGGCCAAGCTATACTGTGTGTCAAGCAGGTGGTTCAGCCCACCTGTACCGTGGAAGCAGATACTGCCCGGGTGTCAGATAAGTTTGTAGCTGGCGCCAACATTTCCCGCTTTCAGAAACCGGTAAAACTCACGTTTACTAATCAGATTCAACGTCGCATAAATTGACAGTCCAAAAGCCGCGAAAGAAGCGATCCAATTAGCATGCCCCACGAGGTTTATTTGGGACTAGCGAATTGTGAATAAATCTGGTCGTGCACAGGGGCAGTCGGGTCAGCTCGACAAACCTGTACCAACCGTCTGACATGCGGTCTAACATGCCCTAATTAGGTAGTAGCCGGAGGTTGTGGCGAGCAACTCAAGGCTCCAGGCAGAATTGGTCTGCGAGGCGAAGCGCCCGGTAAAAGGCGGCGCTGGTTTTTCCCTCCCGCGGTTTGAGGCAGCTTGAAGACCGGGTTACCGTACAAGTTACAACAGTCTGTGTACGTACAGTACACAGGCGACGCGCCAATCGGAACTCCCCTAACCTGACCGTGCGCTGCGAAGTTCATTGCTGGAATGCGTTAAAATTGGGAAGTGGTTACAGCATTCGTTTCTTTCCCACATTTGAGGCCACAATTTCCTCGCGAAGTTGTCCAAGCTAGTCGTGGTCTGCGATTCGCGTAGGCCGCAGCCGTTCTTGTTCCACATCTCGATTCTCCCTCCCACCAATCTCTGCAGGACAGTTTTTGCTGTGCCTGGTCTTGTCTGTCTCCCATCCCATCCCATCCCACCCAACCCCAACGTCCTCCTGGTCCCCTGCTCGTGTCTCTGACCATGTCGGGCCTACTTGCCCCGTCTCCCAAACATTGTCCCATGTTCCCAAGCGACCTCCGCCATTCCTGGCCGTTGGTCTCTGGACTGCAGCGCAGCGGAGAGGAGCACCCTGGTCTGTCCAGTACAGTACACGACTCCGTGCCTGCCGGTTCTCCAAGCTTCCCCATGGCAGTGCAAGCGCCATCCATTTCTGTCCGTTGTTCCCAAGGTTTCTCGAGCAGCCCTCGAGCAGCCCTCGAGCAGACCTCGAGTTCCTTTCCGCGAGAAATCCGCAGAGGATTTCGTTGCTAAGCGGTCGTGCAATCGGCTTGCTTTCCGTTGACTTTGCAAAGAAACGGCGAGCTCAGCTGTGGCTTTGCGATCTACGGGTTGTCGTCGTGTGGGTTCACACGTCTTCATCCGCACTTCGCTGCTCATGAGCCGAAGCTCCGACCCATCTGACGCCGTCCGACGAATCAGTCGCCACTCTCAGACGTCGCTTCACCGACCTTCTGCCTTACCCAGCTGCGTCCTTCCCGCGTTAGACGACACCCCACGCATTTGTACCGTCGGTAACCGAGAATATCCACTAGCATCTAAATTACGTGCAGCGACCGCGGCACAATGCTGTCTCTCGGTCGAACATTCAGTGAGACGGTAGTAGTAGAGCACACGACGCCGCTGCTACCGCGCCGCTCATCCTCGTTCAAGTCGCTCAGCGAAGCCCACTCGCTGCGATCCCTTCCGGGAAACACGTTCCTCAGAGTCCTCGCCTCGGTGGTAGTCGTTTTCGGCGCGTTATCCCCCATCTTTTGGCTCGATTCCTCCATATTCACATCTGTTATAGTGCCATTCGCTACTAGAACAGGCCCGGGCGAACAATCTTCGTATATCGAGGATGTCATTCCCCCAGAGCGCCGAAACGGGAAGATAGCCTTTTTGTTCTTGACACGTGGCCCGATCCCATTCGCTCCGCTGTGGGAGAGGTTCTTCCTGGGGCACGAGGGGCGGTACTCCGTCTACGTGCATGCATCCAACACCTCCTTCGCCTTCCCCGCCGATTCGTCCGCCGTCTTCCGCGACAGACTCATTCCGGGGGGCGAGGTGAGCAAGGGGACACGCTGTCGCGAGGGCAGCATGTGTTGCGTGGGTAGGACGTGACGGGAGACATGTCGCATGAAAACCTTCCATAGCTTGGTTGGATTGCCCCCCCATGCAGTATCGCACGGGCAGCATCGACAAATCATGTCGATGGCTCGGAAAGAAGGCAAGAATTTCCTTCCTCGTTCGATCCCGATCCCCCCCCGTCAGGTGCGTTGGGGCGGCATCAGCATGGTGGACGCGGAGCGGCGGCTGCTGGCAGCAGCTTTGGAGGATCCCAGCAATGAGCACTTCGCGCTGCTCTCCGAAAGGTGCGCACATGCCATGTCACATGGTGGTCGTCGCACGCAGAGCAGGAAGATTCCACATGGACGTGTGTAGTGAGTCCACGTGGTGCATTCAGCCATATTCCGAGGGTTGAGGTTTCTGGGCTCACCACTCACTCTCCTCGCCATCTCCCTGCCTTTCCCTTTACGACCGCCCCTCCGCCCCTCACCATGATATCTCTCGTGCCCCTCCGCCCCTCACCATGACACCCCCCTCGCTCTGCGTGCAGCTGCATCCCGCTGTGGCCGTTTGACTTCGTTCACCGCTACGTCTCCTCCACCCACGTCAGCTTCGTCGATGCGTGAGTCTCTGGTCCTCACTCAAACCACTCCACGCCTAGCATCTGACCGTTCTCAGCTGCCTCGCGTCCCACAGGCCCTTCGTCCCCGGCGACGCCTCTCACGCATCACACGGTCTGATGTTACCCTCATGCTCTCACGCATCACACGGTCTGATGTTACCCTCATGCTCTCACGCATCACACGGTCTGATGTTACCCTCATGCTCTCACGCATCACACGGTCTGATGTTACCCTCATGCTCTCACGCATCACACGGTCTGATGTTACCCTCATGCTCTCACGCATCACACGGTCTGATGTTACCCTCATGCTCTCATGCATCACACGGTCTGATGTTACCCTCATGCTCTCACGCATCACACGGTCTGATGTTACCCTCATGCTCTCACGCATCACACGGTCTGATGTTACCCCTCATGCCTCCTCACGCATCACACGGTCTGATGTTACCCTCATGCTCTCACGCATCACACGGTCTGATGTTACCCTCATGCTCTCACGCATCACACGGTCTGATGTTACCCTCATGCTCTCACGCATCACACGGTCTGATGTTACCCTCATGCTCTCACGCATCACACGGTCTGATGTTACCCTCATGCTCTCACGCATCACACGGTCTGATGTTACCCTCATGCTCTCACGCATCACACGGTCTGATGTTACCCTCATGCTCTCACGCATCACACGGTCTGATGTTACCCTCATGCTCTCACGCATCACACGGTCTGATGTTACCCTCATGCTCTCACGCATCACACGGTCTGATGTTACCCTCATGCTCTCACGCATCACACGGTCTGATGTTACCCTCATGCTCTCACGCATCACACGGTCTGATGTTACCCTCATGCTCTCACGCATCACACGGTCTGATGTTACCCTCATGCTCTCACGCATCACACGGTCTGATGTTACCCTCATGCTCTCACGCATCACACGGTCTGATGTTACCCTCATGCTCTCACGCATCACACGGTCTGATGTTACCCTCATGCTCTCACGCATCACACGGTCTGATGTTACCCTCATGCTCTCACGCATCACACGGTCTGATGTACCCTCATGCTCTCACAACGCATCACACGGTCTGATGTTACCCTCATGCATCACACGGTCTGATGTTACCCTCATGCTCTCACGCATCACACGGTCTGATGTTACCCTCATGCTCTCACGCATCACACGGTCTGATGTTACCCTCATGCTCTCACGCATCACACGGTCTGATGTTACCCTCATGCTCTCACGCATCACACGGTCTGATGTTACCCTCATGCTCTCACGCATCACACGGTCTGATGTTACCCTCATGCTCTCACGCATCACACGGTCTGATGTTACCCTCATGCTCTCACGCATCACACGGTCTGATGTTACCTATTCTCCATCACACGGTCTGATGTTACCCTCATGCTCTCACGCATCACACGGTCTGATGTTACCCTCATGCTCTCACGCATCACACGGTCTGATGTTACCCTCATGCTCTCACGCATCACACGGTCTGATGTTACCCTCATGCTCTCACGCATCACACGGTCTGATGTTACCCTCATGCTCTCACGCATCACACGGTCTGATGTTACCCTCATGCTCTCACGCATCACACGGTCTGATGTTACCCTCATGCTCTCACGCATCACACGGTCTGATGTTACCCTCATGCTCTCACGCATCACACGGTCTGATGTTACCCTCATGCTCTCACGCATCACACGGTCTGATGTTACCCTCATGCTCTCACGCATCACACGGTCTGATGTTACCCTCATGCTCTCACGCATCACACGGTCTGATGTTACCCTCATGCTCTCACGCATCACACGGTCTGATGTTACCCTCATGCTCTCACGCATCACACGGTCTGATGTTACCCTCATGCTCTCACGCATCACACGGTCTGATGTTACCCTCATGCTCTCACGCATCACACGGTCTGATGTTACCCTCATGCTCTCACGCATCACACGGTCTGATGTTACCCTCATGCTCTCACGCATCACACGGTCTGATGTTACCCTCATGCTCTCACGCATCACACGGTCTGATGTTACCCTCATGCTCTCACGCATCACACGGTCTGATGTTACCCTCATGCTCTCACGCATCACACGGTCTGATGTACCCTCATGCTCTCACGCATCACACGGTCTGATGTTACCCTCATGCTCTCACGCATCACACGGTCTGATGTTACCCTCATGCTCTCACGCATCACACGGTCTGATGTTACCCTCATGCTCTCACGCATCACACGGTCTGATGTTACCCTCATGCTCTCACGCATCACACGGTCTGATGTTACCCTCATGCTCTCACGCATCACACGGTCTGATGTTACCCTCATGCTCTCACGCATCACACGGTCTGATGTTACCCTCATGCTCTCACGCATCACACGGTCTGATGTTACCCTCATGCTCTCACGCATCACACGGTCTGATGTTACCCTCATGCTCTCACGCATCACACGGTCTGATGTTACCCTCATGCTCTCACGCATCACACGGTCTGATGTTACCCTCATGCTCTCACGCATCACACGGTCTGATGTTACCCTCATGCTCTCACGCATCACACGGTCTGATGTTACCCTCATGCTCTCACGCATCACACGGTCTGATGTTACCCTCATGCTCTCACGCATCACACGGTCTGATGTTACCCTCATGCTCTCACGCATCACACGGTCTGATGTTACCCTCATGCTCTCACGCATCACACGGTCTGATGTTACCCTCATGCTCTCACGCATCACACGGTCTGATGTCACCCTCATGCTCTCACGCATCACACGGTCTGATGTTACCCTCATGCTCTCACGCATCACACGGTCTGATGTTACCCTCATGCTCTCACGCATCACACGGTCTGATGTTACCCTCATGCTCTCACGCATCACACGGTCTGATGTCACCCTCATGCTCTCACGCATCACACGGTCTGATGTTACCCTCATGCTCTCACGCATCACACGGTCTGATGTTACCCTCATGCTCTCACGCATCACACGGTCTGATGTTACCCTCATGCTCTCACGCATCACACGGTCTGATGTTACCCTCATGCTCTCACGCATCACACGGTCTGATGTTACCCTCATGCTCTCACGCATCACACGGTCTGATGTTACCCTCATGCTCTCACGCATCACACGGTCTGATGTTACCCTCATGCTCTCACGCATCACACGGTCTGATGTTACCCTCATGCTCTCACGCATCACACGGTCTGATGTTACCCTCATGCTCTCACGCATCACACGGTCTGATGTTACCCTCATGCTCTCACGCATCACACGGTCTGATGTTACCCTCATGCTCTCACGCATCACACGGTCTGATGTTACCCTCATGCTCTCACGCATCACACGGTCTGATGTTACCCTCATGCTCTCACGCATCACACGGTCTGATGTTACCCTCATGCTCTCACGCATCACACGGTCTGATTTACCTACCCTCACACGGTCTGATGTTACCCTCATGCTCTCACGCATCACACGGTCTGATGTTACCCTCATGCTCTCACGCATCACACGGTCTGATGTTACCCTCATGCTCTCACGCATCACACGGTCTGATGTTACCCTCATGCTCTCACGCATCACACGGTCTGATGTTACCCTCATGCTCTCACGCATCACACGGTCTGATGTTACCCTCATGCTCTCACGCATCACACGGTCTGATGTTACCCTCATGCTCTCACGCATCACACGGTCTGATGTTACCCTCATGCTCTCACGCATCACACGGTCTGATGTTACCCTCATGCTCTCACGCATCACACGGTCTGATGTTACCCTCATGCTCTCACGCATCACACGGTCTGATGTTACCCTCATGCTCTCACGCATCACACGGTCTGATGTTACCCTCATGCTCTCACGCATCACACGGTCTGATGTTACCCTCATGCTCTCACGCATCACACGGTCTGATGTTACCCTCATGCTCTCACGCATCACACGGTCTGATGTTACCCTCATGCTCTCACGCATCACACGGTCTGATGTTACCCTCATGCTCTCACGCATCACACGGTCTGATGTTACCCTCATGCTCTCACGCATCACACGGTCTGATGTTACCCTCATGCTCTCACGCATCACACGGTCTGATGTTTACCCTCATGCTCTCACGCATCACACGGTCTGATGTTACCCTCATGCTCTCATGCATCACACGGTCTGATGTTACCCTCATGCTCTCACGCATCACACGGTCTGATGTTACCCTCATGCTCTCACGCATCACACGGTCTGATGTTACCCTCATGCTCTCACGCATCACACGGTCTGATGTTACCCTCATGCTCTCACGCATCACACGGTCTGATGTTACCCTCATGCTCTCACGCATCACACGGTCTGATGTTACCCTCATGCTCTCACGCATCACACGGTCTGATGTTACCCTCATGCTCTCACGCATCACACGGTCTGATGTTACCCTCATGCTCTCACGCATCACACGGTCTGATGTACCCTCATGCTCTCACGCATCACACGGTCTGATGTTACCCTCATGCTCTCACGCATCACACGGTCTGATGTTACCCTCATGCTCTCACGCATCACACGGTCTGATGTTACCCTCATGCTCTCACGCATCACACGGTCTGATGTTACCCTCATGCTCTCACGCATCACACGGTCTGATGTTACCCTCATGCTCTCACGCATCACACGGTCTGATGTTACCCTCATGCTCTCACGCATCACACGGTCTGATGTTACCCTCATGCTCTCACGCATCACACGGTCTGATGTTACCCCTCATGCTCTCACGCATCACACGGTCTGATGTTACCCTCATGCTCTCACGCATCACACGGTCTGATGTTACCCTCATGCTCTCACGCATCACACGGTCTGATGTTACCCTCATGCTCTCACGCATCACACGGTCTGATGTACCCTCATGCTCTCACGCATCACACGGTCTGATGTTACCCTCATGCTCTCACGCATCACACGGTCTGATGTTACCCTCATGCTCTCACGCATCACACGGTC